CAGCCAGGGATAAACTAATGTTAAAAATGTAAGGGTCATGAGCCCAACTAAAGCAAACACTGATCTCCATCATGGTGACATCCATTTTATGTTATTTCTAATATAAAGTTTTTTTCAGTTTATTTAAATTAGAATATTTTACTTTAATTTTAGCCATAGCTGCCAGTCCTTAGACCATTTTTTACGATTGCATCTTTCTTACTGTAATCACGTGTATATCTGATGATTATTTTGGCAGAGTTCTGAAAAAAAAACACACACATCCCAAAGCGGAGGCTTTGTACAGTACACCTAGTAGCCAGTGTCACTGCACTGAGTTTTGCCGCATCCACTGAAAAAAGATCATTTGTATTCATAATTCAGGAGAGAGGCTGGTGGGTATTGAAAGTGTTACTTAACTAGCCTACCTAACTAACATAGGGCTACAGCCGAATAACTACCAATGTAACCAAAAAACATAAAGGGAAAAAGAGTGTTTGAGAAAGAAAACAACAACAACAACCAAAACAAATAGCATGTGACTTAAAAACGTCTTGGTTACGTATGTACGTCACGTCGACGTACCAACAAATTGGCATCTCGTCTGAGATTTGCATCTCACACTCTGCCCTGCAGTGCGGGTATAAATACGGAAGCAGATGCAATTCACATTTAGGTTTTCACTGAGGAGTCGAGCTGGTGACCCGGGCCACTCAGCGGTGGTACAGCAACTGTGGCGACGGGACGTGATGTCTCCGCTCCCTCCTTCAGGGAACGAGAGTTATTATGAAACCGAGACGTCCCTTTCAGTCGGACACGTTCGACGTAAGATATAATGTTTTAACTGTAACATTTTGAGGATGTTTTGGGAATGATGATCTGGTAGATCTAGGGAAGAACAGATGATGAAATACAAAAAAAACCTCCAATCACTCGACTAGGAATATGTCTCACAGTTACTACACTGTTCACCAACTTCTTGCATAATACAGGTTTACAGTTTTTTTTAAGTCACTTGATGTTCACAGATGGTAGTGTTATATTGACCTTGTACATCAACCCCAAACTTACATGAAAATACTGTTTTCTCTTTTTTGTTTCTGATTCTTGATGTTTTCTTTTTTTAATTATTTTTTCAAGAGTTCAGTTCAGCGAGGACAAGAAGATAAGATCAGGAAAGTAATTTGCTCACAGTCAGACCACAATGACTTTTCAAAATAAAAGATGAAGAAGGTGCCTTTTTGATATTGGTGATTTGTGTGGGTGTGTGTGTGTGTGTGCGTGTGTGTGTGCGTGCGTGTGTATTGAGAAATAATTGCTAAAGTGCATATTTTTTCCGACCTGAATTCATGAGATTTCACAATAATTGCATGCAATGGTGAACTCGCAAGAAATTGTTATGAAAGTGATAACCCTAACCCCGAGTTCAAAATAAATAATACAAAAAGGGTTTTCTATAAATCATTTTGTATGATTGCATATTAATTTACAGGGAGAACAATTAGACACACATCAACATGTTTATATAGATGCTAAACAAAACTTTACACATCTCTATGTCTAAAAAGCTAAATAAATACATCTGATATACTATACTATACCATTCAAAAATTGGGATTTCTTTTATTTTTAAAGAAATTAATACCTTTATTCAGCAAGGATGCATTAAATTGATCAAAAGTGATGGTAAAGACAATCTTACAAATAAATAAATGCTGTTTTTTTAACTTTCTATTCATCAAATAACTCTGAAAAACATGTCAGGGTTTAGCAAGCAGCACAACTGATTTCAACATTGATAATAATAATAATAAATGTTACTAGAGCAGCACATCATTATATTAGAATGATTTCTGAAGGATCATGTGAGACTGAAGTAATGATGCTGAAAATTTGCAGGAATAGATGACATGTTAAATATATTCAAATACAAACCAGTTATTTTAAATTGTAGTAATATTTCAATGTTACCATTTTATTTTTGATCAAACAAATGCAGCCTTATGCCGAGTTCAGACTGCACGACTTTAGCCCCGATTGTGGCTCGCCGACAGGTTTTGAGAAATCGCCGACAAATGCCCGAAATCACAGGCAAATCGGTGCTCGTTCACGCGAGTGACAATCACGCAGTGTGAATGAGCAAAGACGCGATCTGAGAGAATCACCGACGAGTCGCCGACGCCCGTGAGATATTTGGCATGCTAAATATCTGGACCTGTCGGCGATTCACAATCCTACTGTGTGAATGTGTTCTGACTGAAAACTACATCGGCGATGACCGACAGCCAATGAGAGAGCAAGATACAGGGAGGAGGAGGAGGAGTTATAGACCAGAATATCAGTATTTTAATAGATAGGCCTATATTTACAATTATATCAAACAGAAACAAAGCACAAACATTTGCATGACCAGCAGCAACAGCAGGACATTTGCAAAATTATTTATTTACCCCCAAGTCTCTTTGCAAAACACAGTCCTTGCTCCCCTCGTCTTCCCAACCATTTCCTGCATAAACTTTTTTTTTTTTGCTACAAATCAGTACACAGACAATTTGTAGGCTATCATTTTTAATAACAAATTCAGTGTCGCGCGAGAACTCCGGTCTCACGCACGCGTGATCTTCTGTTATTTCCTTATCACTTCTCGCGTTTGTTTGGTTGTGAAATGTAGTTTGCGGACCAGGCAGAAGTTGTCGGCGATTCTTTCTTTTGTAAAGTCATGCAGTGTGAAACCTCCTGTCGCCGATACATCGTGCAGTGTGAACACAGCAGCAACTGAATGTTACCCCAGATAGTCATGCAGTGTGAAAACAACAGTGACCCGATTATTTTGAAAATCGTGCAGTCTGAACTCGGCATTAGTGAATATAAGAGTCTTCTTTCAAAAACATTCAAATAATCTTACAAACCCCAAACTTTGGACATTGGAAAATTATCAGACAAAGAAAGATAATTTGACAGTGAATCATTCAATTAGCATTTGTGTGAACATGAACTCAGATTGTGAAGTTAAACACAGACAGGATGCTTGTTGCAGGTCTGAAAGAAGTGTATGTTGTAATCTTCCAAGCACTCGTCTGTCTTTAACAGATAACAAAATTGAAATTAAGGTGTGGGTGCAATTTTAATCTTACATTGATCAGTAGTAAATTTCACTAGGTGAATCTGAGCCATGTGGCTCCTGATGATCCTTTAACATGAACTAAAATGTCTGTGTACGTGCTTGGGGTGATGCTCAGGAGCAGATGGGAGGAGACCTTTTGACCTTAGGGACTGGTCAGTGTTGACCAGTGCATTTCTGTATTAAGTTAAGACCTGAGAGGGACTGAGGCGCCCTGAGAGGCGCCTGAAAGTTGCAGTCATGCCCTTAAAAGACATAACAGCCCATATCATAGTGTAAACTTAGAAGGAAAGGTCCTTGAAAATGCTTTAAGAACCCCCCTTCTGCTCATGCATCTGTGTCACTCCTCGCACAGATTGAACTTCTGTGTGTTTGGGACTGAACCTATTCTTGCAAGAATAAAATACTTCTTTTTATTGAATTTGACTCTGAATGTCTCTTACGCAGTGACGATGTTTAACAGAAGTTTTGCCACAACAAAGGTAATTTGCATTATATCCTAAAGCTTGATTTTTGAGGAATGCTAATAATCTAGATTATTTCAATGTTTTTGAAAGAAGACTCCACTCACACAGCAAAATTAAATTAACACTGCTGGGTGTTTATATAATCCACATTTAGAGTGTTAAATGAACACTGAAGCAGTGTTAAAGTTAATGAGATAATTAAGTTATTAATTGTGTGATGATTGAGCATTATTGAAGACACCTGATGTTAACAACAACAACATGTATCACAAGGAATGAGAAAGGTTGACATGGATCAGTTGAATCTTGAACATCTGGGGAATCACCCGTTTAAAAAAAAAGATGAACAGAGCAGAGTCTGCTGGCTAAAAGAGAACGCGACAGAGCAATAAAACAAGAATCAACATCGGCTGGGCTTTTCAGAGATGGTGAGAACTGAGGGATTTGAAATGTTGTAAAAGCGACGCAGAGATGGTGTTAACCACATTCATCCAAAGCACAACCAAAACACTGTTCTTCCGCAAAATGCATGTAGTTTTGTTTTTCAACCGCTAGATGGCCAGAAATTACATAGTGTACAGTTAAATGTTAATTGAGTGACACCATGTCAAATTTTCTTCCATTGTCTTGTAACTTCTATTTAAAAAAAAAAAAAAGTTTTAAATATAAAATAATCAGATATATATATATATATATATAGGATGTTTTTTGTCTTTCAGATATGGAGCAAAACCCTTTTTTTATGTGTGTGTATATATATATATATATATATATATATATATATATATATATATATACATATACACACACAGTATATCTAATTGTTATCATATGCAATCTTACGGGTTGATTATTACACATCTTGTTTAGATTTCTAGATTGTAGATTTTCATCAACTATTTCATGTGAATTCACCATTGCGTAAAGTTATCATGAATTCTTAAGAAATCAGGTTGAAAAGTTCATCTTAGAACAATGAGAACTCAAAGTGTGAAACCACATGAGAGACAGCGATTATTTCTCAAAACACACACACATTATCAGCGATATAAAGAAGACACCTTCCTCATAAGTTCTTCTGAAGAGTCGTTGTCGTCTGTGAGCGAATGACTTTTCTGATCTTCTCTTCTTGTCGTTGCTCCTGAACTCCTGTAAAATAACAAAAAGAAAACACAGAATCTCAAAAAGAGGCAACAGTATTTTCAGGTAAGTTTGGGGTTGAAGTACAAGGTCAGTTTATCAGAGAACATCACAGGTTTATATGATTATTTCAAACAGTTGAATCTGCTAATCAGCAAAAAATGCAGTTGCACAGATTTAAAATGTGTTTTGTAAGAAATTGTTGAACAGTTTAATTGTGCACATATTGTCATCGCAGTGAATTTGTGAGACGCTGTTGTGTTTCTGGTTCTTCACTAGATCTACCTGATCATCTGAGGGATTTGAATGAATCAAGATGCGGCTGATCATTGAAGCTCTTCTTCTCATTTTAGCTGCTCTAGGACAGGTAAGCTTGTGTTCTAGTATGAATATTACAGACATGAATATACTGATGATGTGATCATTATGATTTCTGTTTCTGCAGGATCACAGCGCTGCTGCCGGACAGATATTTCCATTGGATATGGCACCGAATTCTGTCGATGACTATTATTCCGGCTGTAGAGGGAAAATGGCACATCTGGTGAAGACGAAATATCTGAAGAAGGAAATCTCCAACTCAGCTAAATTTAAATATTATTGGCAAAATAGTGCAAATATTGTCAAGTTTCCAAAAGATCATTTAACAAGGAATCAGTTAATCGCCATTCACGTGTACACTGGTAAATACATATATAGTCAATTTAATGAAGAAACTCGTTACGGTAAAAACCATTACAAACACAAGACATTCAAATGGTATTCACTTTACTTTCTGTTAACAGAAGCAATACAGATTCTGAAGAAAACACAGAATAAATGCTATTATACTTATCGTGGTAATAAAGTTGAATTTAATAAGAACATTCTGAACAAAGAGGTTCGATTCGGCTCATTTACATCCTCATCTCTTGATCGCAAAGTAACTCAAGGTTTTGGAAGTACATCTTGTTTTGAAATCTACACCTGTGAAAGTGCTGAGCTGACAAAGTACTCTCAGTATCCTTACATTAAAGAGGTGCTGATTCCTCCATATGAGACGTTTAAAGTCACTGCTGTCAGAACAAAAAAATATAATAAAAATCTCTGGTGTGACACTGTGTACACTTTGAAAAGCACTGGAAAAGTAAGTTACCAGAACTGTGCTCTATTCAAGAAACATTAAAAAACATACAATGTTGAAATTGAATTGCTCTGAATTTACAGGATTTAATCATGTACATCAGTTCCCCACAAATCGATATACAACATTTTTTTTCTTACTGTTTTCAATCATTCTGTCAGATAAAACACAATTTGTTTGCATAATTTTAACAATGAAATAAATGTATTTCAAGTGACCCAATGGCCTCAAAGTGATTTTTATATGTGTCATTAATTAATTTCTTTTTCCATCACATTACTGAACAATTTTAGTATAATATTCTAACATCAATAGAATATTACCTATTCAATGCATTTTTGTTCATGGTATTCAGCTACAATTAAATGTTTTCCAATAAGACTTAGAATAAATGTGAATGATTTCTACGTTGGAATCGATAAGCAGAATCGGAATCATTCAAATTCGAACGATACGCAACCCGACTGCTGCTGTACGTATAACAACATGAAATAATCCCCGTAGCAGAATCTATACAGGTGGAGCTGGGAAAGGGGGAGGGTTTCTGAAAGCACGTTGCAGACTGCAACAGCAAACAAGGGCAAGTAATTGAATGCTGAGCAGCAAGTTCATGGCCGCTAATGCCAAAGCAACCAATCAGCTGTGCTATGAAGATAATGATGTGATCGCTGACAAATTGAGTTAAGGACCTATCAGCCATGTTACCAAACTGAACCATATTTTAAGTGTCACAGTCAATATAGATGGATTTTCATGTGTTTCACATGTTCATATGTGTGATTGTTATTTTTTCAGCGCACTGCCAATATAATCATCATATATACGTGATTACAGTTAGAAAGATGCAAGCTTTGTAGAAAAGAAAGTCTCATTTTAATTAAAATGTAAACCCACCCATCTAACAGGAAACATTCTCAGAACTTTAGCTAACATTGTAAGCAAATGTTCTTCCAGGAACGTTATTACAATGTTTTTAATTTTACTACTTGTTTCAAAAGTAAAAGTAACATTCTCTTAATGTTTGAAGAATGATGAAATGAAACGTTTCCTTAAAGTTTGCGTATCCAAGAAAAATATATGCTTATTCCAATCTGCTGTCAACTCTACATTTCACAGTCTGAGTGTGAAGCTCAACACCCATAGGAACGCATTGAAAATGCCCACTCTGCTTCACTCGCTTTGCCCTAGAGTGGACACACACTGTCATGACGACATCTGAAAGACAATGAGAAGATTCAAACAAAGAGAAATAGTACTTTAAAGTTGCTAGTTTTTGCTCAGGTGGCCGAAATGTTCACCCAACAGAGAAAGGTTTTGCTCAGCAAGAACAAAAATGAGAAGGAACATTGGTGACAGACTTGATCAAAAGTCACGTACGGCAACTAAAGATTTTAATTTCAACATTGTTATCTTTTGAAAACAGATGAGTGCTGATGACAGGAAAAAAAGCTTTCCTGTAGCTCAAACAGTAGAGCATTGGCGCTTGCAACACCAAGGTCATGGGTTCGATTCCCAGGGAAAGCAAGAACTGATAAAATGTCTACCTTGAAATGCAATGAAAGTTGCTTTGGATAAAAGCGTCTGCCAAATGCATAAATGTGAATGTAAAGAAGTACATTTTGTCATCTGGAAGATTGCAACATACATGTTAAAGTATTTTAATGACCTGCACAGTTCAGCTCACTTCTTTCCCACATGAACACAGTGCCGTAGCTGACATATTTCTGATCTCTTCTTGTTTTGACGACAAGTTTTGGTTTAAAAAAAAGAGATATGTTACCGAAACCTTCTGCTTCTGTACGATCAAGACAACAGGATGAAATCAGCCTAAATGAAGCCCTTTGTTCAGAACTGCTTCGAGACTTGCATCTTTTTTGTGTTTACTTCAGAATCTGAGTTAAAGGATACACTATGTAACTTTTTTTGTTCAAAATGATCAAAATTTAAATAATGAGTCAATGCACCCTCAATCCTTCAAATCCCCTTCTAAATTGTGTTTTGTCTTATCCTGAATTGAATTGAAATGTCTTTAATGTCCCCAAGGGGCAATTTGGTTCACAACAGGTAGCCAACACATACACATTCGCACAAAAACACATAAAAACATGAGATATTAAATAGATAAAAACATAAATACACATGTACCTATAGTTTGTTGAGAAACCCAACAGCTGATGGTAAAAATTATCTGTTGGACCTGGCACGTTTTCGGTAAGTATACCTCCTTCCTGATGGTAGGAGGCAAAACTCAGAGTGTCGTGGGTGAGAAACAGATAAACTGCCATATGTAGCTCTCTAATTGAGTTCATTGTAAAGCGTTATCTATTGTGAAGGGTCATTTCATTATGGGTTGTTGTAGTGCTGTACTGGATATTATTTTCAAGGAAGTACCGTGTCTATAGCGCTACAGTGACGTCTTCAGCCAGTCAGCTTGAGATCCTTGCCATCTAAACTGGTTATATCTCTTAAGCCTAGAATTGAATGTTTTATCAGCAGTGAGTTAACCATATTCATCCGCACAGTAACGCAGAGCCAAAGTACAACCAAAACACTGTTCTTCCGCAAAATGCATGTAGTTTTGATTTTTAACTGCTAGAGGGCCAAAAGTTACATAGTGTACAGTGATGACAACATGTCAAATTATCGTCCATTGTCTTGTAAACATCCGATATACACTAGGGATGCACGATGATATCGGGACAACATCGGTATCGGCCGATAAAAGCTTAAAATGACCATCATCGGCATCGGCCGATATGAATATTTCTGCCGATGAGTCTTGCCGATAGGGTGGCGTGTTTCCTATGCGCACGTGACGACCGTGAACGAAGCATGAGCGCCAGCAACTTAAACTTCCAACTAGGGGTGCGCGTCTCACGGTTTTTGATCGTGGATGATTAAAATGTCTCCACGATCTGCTTTTGAAGAAAAATCATAGTATCGTGCATTCTATCAGTTCAATTCTGGCGCCTTCATCTCAACATACACTGTACAACGCGACGTACATTCACATCACATGTAAACGCAGAGGTAGAGTTACACTCACGGGACACTGCAATTCACAAAAGTTCATTGTTTGCATGTGCGTCAAAGTCTTGCTAGGTAAACATGTCATTCACGTGCTGATGCGCTGTTCTAACATCCGCTTTTCTGAGCGCGTAGACGCGACGCTCACAGGAACTAAAAGCCTGTCACAGCGCCTGCATACTGGACTAATCTTTCGAGTCTTATTGCGCTGATACTGTCAAATACACACAAGGTTTACATAAACAAAGTTGGTTATGTCTAAAGTGAAAGCAAACAGAGAAAATCTGCTTGTCAAATGCGTGTATATTAGACGCGTCGCGTTACTCGCGTGCAGTTCTTAAAGAGACAGTAATAATATTCTGCCGCTTGTCTTTAAAGAGATACTGCACCCAGAAATAAAAATTCTGTCTATCTAATGTTGTTTCAAACCTGGATTCATTTCTTTCTTGTGCTTAAATATACTATGGTATGGCAAGCCGTTTTAACTTTTATTCATTTTCAGGATATGAATCCTTGATATCAACAATTCAATTTTCACTAGTTAAAATTATAATTATTGATATCAACAATTAAATTTTTGATATCAAGAATACAATTGTTGATATCAACAATTGCATTCTTGATATCAACAATTGCATTCTTGATATCAACAATTGAATTCTTGATATCAACAATTGAATTCTTGATATCAACAATTGAAATCTTGATATCAAAAATGTAATTGTTGATATCAACAATTGTATTTTCACTAGTGAAATGTCACCATAGGCTGCCATTCAAAATCAATTGTTGATATCAAGAATTACATTTTTGATATCAAGAATTACATTTTTGATATCAACAATTACATTTTTGATATCAACAATTACATTTTTGATATCAACAATTACATTTTTAATATCAACAATTACATTTTTGATATCAACAATTACATTTTTGATATCAACAATTACATTTTGATATCAAGAATTCAATTGTTGATATCAAGAATTATATTCCTGATATCAAGAATTAGATTGTTACTAGTAAAAATGCGAATTCCTGATATCAACAATTGAATTGCTACTAGTAAAAATGTTTATTCTTGATATCTGAAAATGTATTATTGATATCAATATTATTTCAGATATCTAAAATGGCTTTCTTACTAGTAACAATCACATTCATGATATCAGAAATGAACATTGTCACTAGTGAAAATGTAATTATTGATATCAAAAATGAACATTCTTACTAGTAGCAATTCAATTGTTGATATCAAGAATAGACATTTCAACTAGTAACAATTTAATTATTGATATCAGGAATTCGCATTTTTACTAGTAACAATTGCATTCTTGATATCAACAATTGATTTTGAATGGCAGCCTATGGTGACATTTCACTAGTGAAAATACAATTACAGATATCAAGAATTCAATTGTTGATATCAACAATTACATTTTTGATATCAAGAATTAAATTGTTTATATCAAGATTTCAATTGTTGATATCAAGAATTCAATTGTTGATATCAAGAATGCAATTGTTGATATCAAGAATGCAATTGTTGATATCAAGAATACATATCCTGGACATTCTTCCAAATAACTTTTATAATTTCAACAGAAGAAAGAAACTTGAGAGAGTAAATTATGACAATTTAAATTTTTGGGAGAACTATCCCGTTAATGTTAATAAAACAACAAAACACAGAGGAAATCACTCACTGCTCTTGACTGAGAACATTAATAGAAGCTTTAATAAGCTTTTTTTGCACTTAAAAAAAATACAAATATATCGATATCGGTATCGGCATCGGGCAAAATTAGTTTGAAAATATCGGCATATCGAATATCGGCCAAAATCCTATATCGTGCATCCCTAATATACACTATATTGCCAAAAGTATTGGGATATACCCCTTCAAATCATTGAATTCAGGTGTTTCAATCACTTCCATGGCCACAGTTGTATAAAATCAAGCACCTAGGCATGCAGACTGCTTCTAAAAACATTTGTGAAAGAATGGGTCGCTCTCAGGAGCTCAGAGAATTCAAGCGTAGTGCCGTGATAGGTTGCCACCTGTGCAATAAGTCCATTCGTGAAATTTCATCACTACTAAATATTCCAGAGTCAACTTTTAGTGGTATTATAACAAAGTGGAAGCAATTGGGAACAACAGCAACTCAGCCACGAAGTGGTAGGCCACGTAAAATCACCGAGCGGGGTCAGCGCATGCTGAGGTGAAGTAGCTCAAGGACAGTGCGTAGACTAGAGAGCTTCATGGAATGTGTTTCCATGGCCGAGCAGCTGGATCCAAGCCTCCATCCAAGTGCAGTGCAAAACGTCAGATGCAGTGGTGTAAAGCACGCCGCCACTGGACTCTAGAGCAGCACGTTCTCTGGAGTGATGAATCAGGCTTCTCTGTCTGGAAATCCGATGGACGAGTCTGGGTTTGGCGGTTGCCAGGAGAACGGTACTTGCCTGACTGCATTGTGCTAAGTGTAAAGTTTGGTGGAGGGGGGATTATGGTGTGGGGTTGTTTTCAGGGGTTGGGCTTGGCCCCTTAGTTCCAGGGAAAGAAACTCTTAAAGGGGTCATGTAATGCCATTTTTGTACAAGCTAATATGATTCTTTAGGGTCTAAATTAAAATATACGTTAATTAAAAATTCTCAAGAAAACAGTTATTTTATCTGGTCAAAAACAGCTTTGTTTTCAGCACGCCGTTTCAGTGCATATGCCTTTAGGCTTTAAATGATCATGAGCTTCGCTCACCCCGCCCCTCTGTTCTGTGCGTACACGTTTGTAACACAATAACCATAACGCGTTGTTCATTATAAACGTGGGATTATGAATTATATTGAGAACGTCGTACATAGAAAACATGCCGTAATGTACCCTGAGTGTAAACCTTAGACTCATTCATCGTGAAGCGCGCAAGCGATTTGCAAAGATATAAATATAAATATAAAGGTTAATAAAACGTTACACTCACTTCAGTTGTTCTAGAGGTTCAGCAGGAACACGAATAGCTGGTACCGATCCTTTTTTCATGAGCCGCTTCTTAGCAAAACCAGCTTTATACTGACTCTCGTTTATAAAGCAGTCTGGTGTGTGAAATGATTCGCGCAAACATGAACGCATTGACGTTGCTCGTGGGGAATATTCCCTTCGAAAAAACAAACTCAGCCACTGCGTCTTCAGCGGTTCGGATTTAGGAACATCAAAATGACTGTGTTCGTTATTGCACCCAAGAACAGAACACCACAATCGCTTAGACGCCATTCTGCTCATAGACAGTGCTCCAGCATATCAACAATGACTGCGCCGGTCCGCGCGGACTATGATTGACAGCTGGCTCACGAGCGAGGGCGGGTCTGTGTTGAAACCCGGCTGTCAATCAACAATCGCGGCAGGGGCTTCCGAGCGTGTGACGTCACATGGTCGAACGGCTCGATTTGAGACAGGGGAAAACATATAAGGAGATTAAAACAAAAACACTGGCTGGATTTTTATCATTATATGATGGTTGTGTACAGGCACTGCCAACACACATTTCAGTACAATCAACTTGAAAAAGTGCATGTACCATTATATGACCCCTTTAATGCTTAAGCATACCCCAAGACATTTTGGACAATTTCATGCGGTCAACTTTGTGGGAACAGTTTGGGGATGGCCCGTTACTGTTCCAACACGACTGCGCACCAGTGCACAAAGCAAGGTCCATAAAGACATGGATGAGTGAGTTATGAGTGGAGGAACTTGACTGACCTCAACCCGATAGAACACCTGTTATGGAATTATGTGTGTTATTTCGTATCATATATTCTGATTCTGTATATTGTTTGTATTCTCCGTTATTGTTATTTCTCTGTGTTTTTTTTATTGCTGATTGTTCTAAGCAGGATCTCGGGATGGCTCCACCCCTTTGATTGACGCGGGATTAAAACTATCCCTTCCGCTCTAGAAGTTGAGCTGCGAGGAAGGCCGTCCGTGACCGGAACCGGGGGGCGGCCGAAAGAGCGTCGCCCCTCTCCCCCTTATCTTATCGCACCTCAAGTTTGTGGAGAACCCGGTGCTAAATGACTCGTAGACGACCTGATTCTGGGTCGGGGTTTCGTGCGTGGCAGAGCAGCTACATCGCTGCGATCCATTGAAAGTAAGCCCTCGATCCAAGTTTTTGTCGGCCTCCGGGGTTGGGGGTGTGGGGGGCGAAGGTCTTTGGGTGAACCAGTGGTAGTGGTGGAGGATGAGGAGAGTGAGACGGAGACTTGGTGTCTGTGATTCCGGGCGGGTCGCACTTCTCCTGTCTCCTCTACAGCCGTCAGACCATTATTGTACCTGATTTAGATTCTGTTAAAGGAGAACTCCGGCGCAAAATGAACCTTTGGTCTAATAAAACATTGGTACCTAGTCAACCGTTCTCTGAGATTTGTTTTCATAATCGAATGTAAAGAGTTTTATCTCTAAAAACTGTTTAGCGTATAACGCTATAATGGGGGCATATAATAAGTAAAAAGAAATCGCTAGTTTATACCACTAACAAGGCTCAAAATAACCCCACACTAACACAGTAACATAATGAGGGTCCCTACATGCAAAACGAAGCATTGAGAACTTTGTAAGTGTACAGACCATTTAATAAGAAGATATTTTATAAAGACAGTCCACTTCGTGTATACAGACAGGAGCCATCTTTGGAAAACAGTCTCGACTAATCAAACCACGAACGCCATTCATACAGTTCGGAAGTTCACTGAACTTAATACAGTTCAGCTCACTTAGCACGTCGTTCGTGGTTTGATTAGTCTAGACTGTTTTCCAAAGATGGCTCCTGTCTGTATACACGAAGTGGACTGTCTTTATCTTTATCTTCTTATTAAACGGTCTGTACACGTACAAAGTTCTCAATGCTTCGTTTTGCATGTAGGGACCCTCATTATGTTACTGTGTTAGTGTGTGGCTATTTTGAGCCTTGTTAGTGGTATAAACTAGCGATTTCTTTTGACTTATTATATGCCCCCATTATAGCGTTATACGCTAAACAGTTTTTAGAGATAAAACTCTTTACATTCGATTATCATGAAAACAAATCTCAGAGAACGGTTGACTAGGTACCAATGTTTTATTAGACCAAAGGTTCATTTTGCGCCGGAGTTCTCCTTTAAGTATTTTATTTTCAGTGATGGTGTTTTGTAAGGTTGACCTGCCCTTTTCTTTGAAATCACGTTCGTTTTGTTTTGTTAGTGTATTTAGGGTAATTTGCTGGATTTTGATTTGGATAATTTTAGGGAAGTTTACTTTGATATTTTGTTTATTATTTGTTTTGTTTGTTATTTTGGGCCTTTGGTCTTCCTGAAGATTATACACCCACTGGTTTATGTTACTCTGTTATCCTCAATTTTACTTATATGTTCATCTTCTTCATCTAAAACATTTATTGTTTCTCTTGAATTTTGGACTCATTGGTTTATCTTTTGGTCTGACGACTGGGCGTGGGAGTCATGTCGAGACTGTGAGCCAGGCCTTCTCGTCCAACTTCAGTGCCTGACCTCACATATGTGCTTCTAGAAGAATGTTAAAAAACAAACACACTCCTAAACCTTCTGGAAAGCCTTCCCAGAAGAGTTGAAGCTTTTATAGCTGCAAAGGATGGGCACACTCCAAATGAAACTCTACAGATCAGGAATGGGATGTCAATAAAGTTCATGTGCATGTAGGCGGGCGTCCCAAAACTTTTGGCAAAATAGTGTAAATCTGATTCATTTGAATAAGTTTGAAATTAAGTATTTTTTCTTTCAGATATGGAGCAAAACCCTTTTTAATCTCTCTAAAAACATATATATATATATAATTGTTCTTGTATGCAATCATACGAGTTGATTAATACACATCTTGTTTAGATTTCTAGATTGTAGATTTTCATCAACGATTTCATGTGAATTCACCATTGCGTAAAGTTATCATGAATTCTCAAGAAATCAGGTTGAAAAGTTCATCTTAGAACAATGAGAACTCAAAGTGTGAAACCACACAAGAGACAGCAATTATTTCTCAAAACACACACACATTATCAGCGATATAAAAAAGACACCTCCTCATAAGTTCTTCTGAAGAGTCGTTGTCGTCTGTGAGCGAATGACTTTTCTGATCTTCTCTTCTTGTCGTTGCTCCTGAACTCCTGTAAAATAACAAAAAGAAAACACAGAATCTCAAAAAGAGGCAACAGTATTTTCAGGTAAGTTTGGGGTTGAAGTTCAAGGTCAGTTTATCAGAGAACATCACAGGTTTATATGATTATTTCAAACAGTTGAAACTGCTAATCAGCAAAAAATGCAGTTGCACAGCTTTAAAATGTGTTTTGTAAGAAATTGTTGAACAGTTTAATTGTGCACATATTGTCATCGCAGTGAATTTGTGAGACGCTGTTGTGTTTCTGGTTCTTCACTAGATCTACCTGATCATCTGAGGGATTTGACTGAATCAAGATGCGGCTGATCATTGAAGCTCTTCTTCTCATTTTAGCTGCTCTAGGACAGGTAAGCTTGTGTTCTAGTATGAATATTACAGACATGAATATACTGATGATGTGATCATTATGATTTCTGTTTCTGCAGGATCACAGCGCTGCTGCCGGACAGATATTTCCATTGGATATGGCACCGAATTCTGTCGATGACTATTATTCCGGCTGTAGAGGGAAAATGGCAAATCTGGTGAAGATGGAATATCTGAAGAAGGAAATCTACAGCTCAGCTAAATATAAAATTAGTTGGAAAGTAGGTGAAATGTTTGTCAAGTTCCCAAAAGATCATTTAACAAGGAATCATTTAATCGCCATTTATGTGTACAGTGATAGTAATGTATATCACCATTTTAATCCTGACACTCGTTACGGTAAAAAACAGTACAAACACAAGACATTCAAATGGTATTCACTTCACTTTCTGTTAACAGAAGCGATACAGATTCTGAAGAAAACACACAATAAATGCATGTTAACGTATCGTGGTACAAATGTTGAATTTTATAAGAATGTTCTGAACAAAGAGATTCGATTCGGCTCATTTTCATCCTCCTCTCTTGATCCTAATGTAGCACGAGGTTTTGGAAGTAAATCTTGCTTTGAAATCTACACCTGTGAAGGTGCTGATGTCACAAAATATTCTAAGTATCCTCATGAGAAAGAGGTGCTGATTCCTCCATATGAGAAGTTTAAAGTCACTGCTGTCAGAACAAAAACATATCAGCACAATCTCTGGTGTGACACTGTGTTCACTTTGAAAAGCACTGGGAGAGTAAGTTACCAGAACTGTGCAGTGGCATTCAAGAAACCATACAAGTACTAATTATATTCACTGAAGAAAAATAGTGCTCAGAATTGATCAGTTCCAAACTAGTAAATATAGAAGAAGTCTTCCTCTCAATTTAGCTTAATAGTTCTTTGTCAGCAGACAATTTTTGTACACTTTAAATTGTTCTGAAATAAAACATTTATATTGGCCTTAAAATGATTTTGTATGTGTATCTATTAATTTCTTCATTTACACTTACATGTGTTTGCATCACAATTTTAGTGCTTGCCATCTAGTTGACTGCCAGGAAAAGAATATGAACTGCTAAATGACCTTCTGGGTGCAATGCAGAATGAAGATGGTTTAGTTATATTGAAAATACACCTTCAGTAGCATCTGAACGATGATCAATTTAATGAAATTGTTTTTGGGAAAAGGGTAACTTTTCTTAAATTGGTGTTGGCATTTAAAATAATAAAGAAAAGTGTTCCTAGGTACCTGACAGAGTATTGTGTACTTCTAAGAGAAGTGCACAGTCATTCCACTAGGGGGAGTAGCACTGACATCTATCCTTGTAGATTTAAGAGTTTAAGGGGGAAGATTTTTATATATATATATATATATATATATATATATATATATATATATATATATATATATATACACTCACCGGCCACTTTATTAGGTACACCTGTCCAACTGCTCGTTAACACTTAATTTCTAAGCAGCCAATCACATGGCGGCAACTCAGTGCATTTAGGCATGTAGACATGGTCAAGACAATCTCCTGCAGTTCAAACCGAGCATCAGTATGGGGAAGAAAGGTGATTTGAGTGACTTTGAACGTGGCATGATTGTTGGTGCCAGAAGGGCTGGTCTGAGTATTTCAGAAACTGCTAATCTACTAGGATTTTCACGCACAACCATCTCTAGGGTTTACAGAGAATGGTCCGAAAAAGAAAAAACATCCAGTGAGCGGCAGTTCTGTGGGCGGAAATGCCTTGTTGATGCCAGAGGTCAGAGGAGAATGGCCAGACTGGTTCGAGCTGATAGAAGGGCAACAGTGACTGAAATAACCACTCGTTACAACCGAGGTATGCAGCAAAGCATTTGTGAAGCCACAACACGCACAACCTTGAGGCGGATGGGCTACAACAGCAGAAGACTCCACCGGGTACCACTCATCTCCACTACAAATAGGAAAAAGAGGCTACAATTTGCAAGAGCTCACCAAAATTGAACAGTTGAAGACTGGAAAAATGTTGCCTGGTCTGATGAGTCTCGATTTCTGTTGAGACATTCAGATGTTAGAGTCAGAATTTGGCGTAAACAGAATGAGAACATGGAACCATCATGCCTTGTTACCACTGTGCAGGCTGGTGGTGGTGGTGTAATGGTGTGGGGGATGTTTTCCTGGCACACTTTAGGCCCCTTAGTGCCAATTGGGCATCGTTTAAATGCCACGGCCTACCTGAGCATTGTTTCTGACCATGTCCATCCCTTTATGGCCACCATGTACCCATCCTCTGATGGCTACTTCCACCATGTCAGAAAGCTCTAATCATTTCAAATTGGTTTCTTGAACATGACAATGAGTTCACTGTACTAAAATGGCCTCCACAGACACCAGATCTCAACCCAATAGAGCATCTTTGGGATGTGGTGGAACGGGAGATTCGCATCATGGATGTGCAGCCGACAAATCTGCGGCAACTGTGTGATGCCATCATGTCAATATGGACCAAACTCCCTGAGGAATGCTTCCAGCACCTTGTTGAATCTATGCCACGAAGAATTGAGGCAGTTCTGAAGGCAAAAGGGGGTCCAACCCGTTACTAGCATGGGGTACCTAATAAAGTGGCCGGTGAGTGTATATATATATACTAGTTATATAGCCTAGAATGTTTTACCTAGTTGTATAAAGCAGATAAAAGTTTAAAGTGTTTTTAAAAAGGAAGTAAAAAAAAAGGGCCTTTTATCATTAATTTACAGGCGATGCAGACCTTGATGGTGATTTCACTCCACATATGATCTGTATTTCTATTTGTAAACATAGAGGACCACAATGGAAATAAGCATTGGGCGTTTTGTGTTATCCTCGACAATTATGAAACATTGTATGAACAATCTTTATTTATTTATTTTTTTTATTCTTGTCTAACAAAGGAAGCAATATATATTCCCAATACACTCCGAGAACGAAGTTTTGCTGCTTGTTCAATTTAACTGAATTAAATAAAGGTTTACTCTTTTTTTTTTTTTCTTGCTGAGGAGCTTCATTGATGTTGGAATGTTTGTGGTTTTCACTGTGCAGAAGAGTGATGCTTGAGGTTTTTGATATTGTACAATTCAACCATACCCGAATGAAAGACTAAAATTACACATTAAAAATACAAGAGCAAAAAAAAAAAAAAAAAAAAAACTTGTATGTAGAGCGAGGTCGGTCCACTGCACTATTTGCTGTCATTTGTTCAATGTGTCTGGAAATTTCTCGAGACAGCGTTGCCCCCTGCTGGCCAGGTCTGGCAGCAACTACACCTCCCGCTGTTGTTTTGACTCAAAGTTTGGCAACGCTTGCTATTCATATCAAATAAGAAGAAATGGTGTTGGCTGGTATACTATTTTACTATTGGAGATTAACATTGTTGTTGTTGCTAGCACAAACATTATTTTGTGAACTAACCAATGCACGTCAAATGTGTTGCTATGCAAACTAAAAGCATTTCTGTAAAGCCGAGCTGATGTTACCGGGACTGTTGCTTTACCTTTTTGTTTAAAATCTCTTTTTGGTTCGAAGTTCATTTGTTGTGACTAGGGGTGTAACGATACACAAACCTGACGGTTCGGTTCGTCCCACGGTTTTGAGGTCTCGGTTCGGTTCGGTTCGGTTCATTTCGGTGGGGTGGGGGGGTTAGAAAGCTAAAATTGCTTTTATTTTTTATTAAACAGTGCTTTAATGAACAAATTGTGTCCTTGTCTTTAAATTAATTCAATTACAAGTAAACGTTTCTCAAGGATAACAAAATTATCTTACCAATGCTGTAAACTACAGCCCTTACTTGCACATTACTATAACATTAAAGCTTAACAACATAGCCTAGACTTTTAACCTAAATTATATAATAATAATCAACACTCAAATAACAAATTGTATGAAAACATGTAAACTGCACATAAGGCAATTTTTGCATTAACATGTTTTTACTCTAATTTGTTATTGTCATATAATAATTTACACAGTTACTGTTATTTTCATGACAACTATTTTAAACATACATTAAATAATCAAGACATCATAAACAGGTTAAGTAAAATATAATATATAGGCTAATATATAGCATTTATTTAGTGAAAGAGTTAGCAAACCAGCAAGCTGTGGACACTGAATGACTTGCCTGAGGTAAATATAAAGCTATGTGAAAAACTAAGCGTTTTATTGACGTATTTCCGCTGTTGAAACACTGATTGAGTGTTTACACGAGTTATGATGACTTTCAGTAAATATACTGTATCTTTCAACATACCTTCGGGTGTCCATTCATGTTTATTCTGTAACTGAGGAAGAGATGATCGCGCTCCGCGCTGCCGCATGCATACAGTGATATCTGTCACGCCACATCTAAGAGCGCCAAAACGGCATTTATTGTTTGCATTTCGTGATCAAATAGACATAATTTGAAAGATTACACCTTGCTTATTATCAAAAGTAACAAAACACTGAGCTTATTGCGATTATATGTGGTTAATGGTGGTTAGGCAACAGCCCTTCGTTGTGTACAGATAACACATGAGGTGAAAGAGCCGGGGCTGGGCGGGGCCGCAGGGGGCGTGTTCGGTTCGCCATGAGAGTATCGCGATACGTATCGTGGGTGGTGTATCGCGGTTTTTCGGTTCGGTTCAAATATCGTTACACCCCTAGTTGTGACTTCCATCTGCTACTGTGACCTACCACCGCATGTACCGCATGTCATTAACACGCGCAGAATGCATGGCGGAAGTATTCAGTTTCCCGCGAAATCCGTCCAGCTCTAAAAACACAAATAATTATTATAGGCTTACCGTGGTGTTTCGGGGTAAGGCAGGAAACCAGATTGGAATACGAATGTATGATGTACTCACTCATTATTTTTAATTTTGTTATTTAAAAAAAACATTTATTTTTGCACATGAAATGATGTGCAACATGATGGCCATTTATGTTCTAACTAAAGTTTACTCTTATGATTATTTCTAAGCATTTTAGAAGAAATAAGAACAGCATAAAGATCAACCCGTCACATTTCTGCTTGTGCAACACAATGAATTTAGATCTTAAATCTTTCGTACATCTCTCATATAGCACTATCATATTATCCAATCAACTATTTCCCAAAAAAATTAGATTTACTACACATTTGTGTAGTCAATTTTTTGACTGTTTTGTCTGGTTTGATCATGTGGAATAATACAAAGACAACAGCACAAACTATGTCTACTGTGATATTTATTTCCTTTACATATAAAAAAGGCTAAATTCCTAAATTAAATAAAATAAAATGGAAAACACTGATTATTACAATTTTTTTTTTTTTTTTAACTTGGTATAAGTTTCTTGGTGTCAGTTTCTCTGGTAACCTAAAAAGAGTACAATAAAGTAAAATAAAATGCGCTGTAGCCCAAAGCATTTGGACACTGAAGTCCAGGTTTCAGACGTTCTCCACCTTGATGATGTTCAGCTCGGGCTCGTGCGGTGAAACCGGAAGACTAGAGGACTGGTCAGCAGGGCTACACGCCTGGAATGATCCCTCTGCACTGGTGGAGGGCATGTCTCCTGATTTACTATCCATCCCTGTAAAGGAGTCTGTGTGTGGCTGTGAATACGGGAGTGTGCTGGGCGAGTACGCTTGCGTGTGGGACTGAGTGAACGTCGTGGTACGCGCTTGTGCGTGGGTGAACGGGGGCCCGCTGGAGGTCGGGCACTGCTGAAACCCGTTCATGGTGGGTGGGCTGAGCTGGTCCAGAGAGAACACCTCGATGCTCTCGAGACCAGAATCGTGGATCTCGTTGTATCGCGTCTGGGCTTGGCTGCACTGAGCGTAGGCGCCCTGGCCCGTCGCCGTCTGGCTGAACGGGGCCGAAGAGGCCAGCGAACACGACGCTGGAGCGCATGAGGACTGCAGAGGGTCGAATTTGGATGCGAGATCCTGCAGGGTGCTGAGGATCTGCTTCTGGACTTGAGTCTGCTGGGATTGTTCTCTCTCCAGTCGGCCTTGTTGGTCCACCATCATCCTCAACGCCAGGCCCAAACTCCTCAGCTCTGAGCCCAACGACTGGATCTGCTCCTGCAGGGTGCTCACGGCGGCAGGGTCCAGGACGCTCCGCTGGGGAGGAGGAGGAGGGGAAGGCTGGGTGGTCACGCTTTGGACCCGTGCGGAGGGGGATGCATTTTGGGATGTCGCCCCAGAGGTGGCCGGGTCGGGGAGGCGGATGTCGATACGGGGAGGGTGTTGAGGAGCACGAACAGGAACACCCACACGCTGGTTCATCCATCTCCTGTGAGGACTGGCTCCTTGGTGCAATAATCTCTGTGAAATAAAGATTTAATTAAGCCATTCATCACATATGTGGGTAAGAAATAGTGATCAGCCAGACCCAAGGCTCAGTTATAATAATAATGATTAGTAGTAGCAGTAACATACAAATTTAAATGTATACTTTTATTAAATTATGTAAAAATGGTTTTAAATATTGGTTATGGGACACTTAACCAAAACGTTATTATTATTGGTTGTACAAAATGTTTTTTTTTTCTATCTCTAATCATAATAGTACTGGATTTATGATGATGCTTCATAACTCACGATGTTTGGAGGTCTGGCTGTAGTGAGGTCATAAGAAGCCGTCTGTGGTAACACAAGCTTTCTCCCATCAGGACCAGAGAAGCAGGACGGGTCTCGTCTCACTGACACCGACACCTGCTGGCCGGTCTGGGGACCGCTGTCTCTTACCTTCACAAAACACGTGGATTAGTTAAGGCAAAACATATAATCACACACATATATATATATATATATATATATAAGCCTTTTTATAAGTTATATATATTTTTGGTATTGTGTTTTTATGAAAAATAAGCACATGCCCCCTTTAATGTGCACATTTAACTTTTCCTATTTCTATTGTAATTTTTACTGTAAAGAAACATAAATTACAACGCTTTTAAATCATTTAAAACAATCAAATTTAAAGGCAACAAATGTACCATGGTGCATAAATACATTACATTTTTTTTCACATTGCTGTAATGTAATTTTTTGTAATGAAATTGTTTTATTTTTATTTGTTGCATTAAAGTCACGTGGATTAGAGAAGAAATGTACTTAATTGTCATGAAAATAAAGTCACACTGCGCACACACACACACACACACACACACCTATATATATATATATATATATATTAGTTCAAGCCAATGTATTTTAGTGTTTTTGAAAGAGGTATCTTATGCTCACCAAGAGACTAATATTTATGCAGGAAAAAAAAAAAAACTGTAATATTGTGCAATATTATTACAATTTAAAATAATCGTTTTCCATCTTAATGTTTTAAAATTGTATTTATTCCTGTGATCAAAGTTCAATTTTCAGCATCATTACTCCAGTCTTCAGTGTCACATGATCCTTCAGAAATCATTCTAACATGCTGATTTGATCCTCAAGAACCATTTCTGATTATTATCAATGTTGAAAACAGAATATTTTGGTGGAAACAGTTTATTTTTCAGGATTCTATGACGAAGAGAAAGTTCAAAAGAACAACGTTTGCAACATTATAATGTCATTACATTCTTTAAAAAACATATATATTTTGTATATGTTAGTACAATCCACCCACCCGCGCTCTGTGGAGCAAAGCCTTATCCAGGAGTCGTTTGCGAGCCACTAGCACAGGATTGGCAGGTGAAGGTGTGTGTCGTCGTCTAACATAAGAAGCGCCGCTCATCGCTCCCGTCCCGACTCCCGAGCGCGGCCCTTGGATCCCAGCATTCTGCGATCCCTGTGCCAACGAGGTCACGCTGACAATCCGGATGTCCTCGTCTTTCTCCCCACCCTGAGCCTCCCTCCTCCCTGCCGGACCCGTCCCGGAAGACTGTCCTCCTCTCGCATCCGAGGAGGACCCGGCCTGTTGGGAAGCAGCGACTCTGGAAGCTTCTCTGAGGAGGTTCCTCAGCTGCTGATCGCTCCAGCCGACCCGGCGCGTCTCAGAGCCTGCCGTCGGCCCCGTGTGGCCGCTGTTCCTAGCGGCCCCGTCCTCCTTCCGAGCTCTGCCTTGAAACTCCTTCAGGAAAAGGTAGATGGCCTGCGCAGACACCTTGATGTTCTCCAGCTCCAGCACGGCTTTGATCTTCCGGAAGCTCAAGCCCGCCTCCCGCAGCTCCACCACCTTGCGCTTGGCAGCGTCGTCCAGTCGGCCCATGCTGGACAACACGGTAACGGCACACTAAAAAGCGGGCTCCTGAAATGAATGCAAAAACATGGTTATGTTCGGAATGAAATATTACGTCCACAAATGTTTGTAGTCTTTAAGAATTGCTTGGTACAATAATAACAAATAAGCCCTGTCAAAAAAAGTCCTTTTTTAGCACAGATCTCAACCTAAATGGTTGTAATTAAGGTTGGCCTCTTTTTGAAAGAAGAATATTCTATACAAAATATGTATTTTACAACATAATTTGGATTCTAAAAGTTGTGTTCCAAATTTGAAGTTATCACAAAAATTAAGCCCACTATAAGACTCTAAAATACCATTTTCATGGTAATGCATTGGCCAGTTTCAAAATGTTTTCATGCTTCAGAATCATGAATATGTTTATCCATTTCATTTACACCCAATGTAATACAAAATGTAGCATTTAAATCAACAGTAATTTTTTTGTTAACCTTTCACCATATGTCTTGGAGTATCGCAATTGTATCGGGAGTTCAGTATCGTGTATTGAATCGTGACATGAGGGTATCGTTACACCCTTATGTTTAAGCTTTCGAATTTATGATGATTACTAAAATATATTATAGGGAAAAAGGGCAATAAAAAAGCGGGAGTCGGGACACTAACAGACAGTCAACAGACTAGGATATAAACTAGAAATAATTTAAAAAAAAATTGTTGGATGTAGGCCTAGTTGATAAATATGATTTATTATAATATTTTAATAACCCTGTTATGTTGTGTCTATGGCCCTGTTATAATGTTGAATAAGTTGACCAGACAGGTCCTCCGCACAGACCTATGGCCAGCTATATCTCCATATCGGCATAATGAATCGATCTTCAAGCAGAAGGAACTGGATGAATATTTAAATGCTACCGATGCCAATCTGACCTCTGACCTGTAATGTTGCCTGAATCATAATCACACACTGTTCGCTCGTTGGCCAGAGGAGAACTGACCCCCCGACTGAGTCTGGGTTCTCCCAAGGTTTTTTTTCCTCCATTCTGTCACCTGATTGAGTTTTGAATCCTCGCCAATGTCGCCTTTGGCTTTTGGCTTGTTTAGTTGGGGACACTTAATACTCAACATTATTGATCTGCTGCATTGACACCCTTATATGAGAACTGAACTGAGCTGGACGATGATGACATCACTGTTTTCTCCAGAACTGCTTTATAGATGAAATGAACTAATTTAATAATTGATGATCTTTACAACAGAACTGAATCAACACTGAACCGACTTCAGCTGAACAATTACACTATTTTCTTTTAGAGCCGCTGTACAGCCGAATTGAATTCTGTTTGCATCGTTGAATCATTATTTCCCTGTCAACACTGTAAAGCTGCTTTGAAACAATCGGTATTGTATAAAGCGCTAGGGCCTATATAAATGAATGTTGAACGATTAAAAAATTTAAAACTTGACTCTTTCCGTAATAGTTTTGGTAATAAAATAAAACAAATAAAAAGGGATTTAGTTGGATTTATTTGATAAATATGATTTACTATAATATTTTGTTAATACCCTGTGATAATTGTGTCCTCAGATACATCTATTTTTGTGTTTAGAAGGTTATTATTTATTAGTTTGAGCCTGTGCAGATGGGCATAATGTGTATATATATATATATATATATATATATATATATATATATATATATATATATATATATATATATATATATATATATATATATATATATATATACACACACACACACACACACATAGTGTGGAAGCAATTTAATATGTTCTATATATGTGCATTTTCTTATATTCATAGTAATTATATTAAGCTAGTAAAATGCATGAGGATTGCATGATTCTCTGCTACATTGATGGACCAAAGAACTATTAACCCTTATCTGTGTATGTATACGTGTATGATCTTGTATACGTGACTTGACAAAAAGTAATGTGTGACTAATGTATGACTGAGACAAAGGGCCCTTTACACATTAGGAGGATGCAACAACGTGTTAGTTATGGGACGTGTTGTTAATGATGACATAGAGGGAGTCAACTATAAAGAAGAAAGGATGCCCTCCCTTCTCTGTCACATCTGCAGGCACTCTGTATGACTGTTAACCTTTTCTTGCAAGAAAAAAAAATAACCTTTATAGACAATTGGTATATATTTGTCTCTTATTCAGTGATGTAAAATTGTTTGCCACCACATACACATTCATTTTTCCTTCTTTCTATGCCTCTTGTATTGAATGCCAGTTTTGTCTATCTTAAAATTAAAAAAAAAGAATGACAGACTACTATACTTTGCACTGCATACTTTAAAAATATATGGAATAGCAAGTACTATTCCAAAATAATGTTTCAGACAGTAACGTTCCAAATGTTTAGTCTAATAAGTGCCCTTTAACCCTGGAAAACAACCACAACACACCAGCATGAGCAGCTGGCCACCTCGACAGCTGGTTTAAGCTGTTTGTTCAAAAGGTTTAGCCCAGCTGTAATTTTCCAAACACCACCAAGCAGGGAACAAGTACAGATCCATGTAGGGACCCTGCGTATGGATGGATCTAGTGCACTCAGAACACAATAGAAATCAAACATCTCTCACCTACTGCGACTTTGCTGGTCAGTTGTGTATGTTTGAAGCGACGATATGCTCCATTATAAAGTCACATGACGACGCTCGCATCCAAATCCTTAACGTGCATCTGATAATGTCAACACAACAACAGTAAGTGGCGATGAAAAGCACACATTTGTGTTTTACTTTATGATTATTGCATTAACACACGCCCCGCCTCCTTCAGACTGTCGCAGGGATAGCGTCATCACGCCTGCGCCCTCACGGAAACGTCATTAAGACGCGACAGCTGTTGAGCTCGGCGTTGGATGTGTCGCGCTCTGCTCATTTATCATGTAAGTCTGAATGTTTATTATAATCAATATTTATCACTTGCGACCGGTTTTGTGTCTCGTAAATGGGTTTGTGTGTACGCAGAAAGATACTAGCCGCGTTTCTTATCATTAATCGTCGCTATTTTGCATACGTTGGGTTAATATCGGCGGGGTTAGCATTAGCTCACCGCGCTGAATGAAGATAATCAATGTGCGTAATTGTTTTTAAAAACAAAGCCTCAATTGTTTCGGATTTGTGATATATATGTGTAATAAAATATCGAGTTTTATACTTTTAAGGCAGGGATTTGCAGTGCGTTTGCACATGTCCATGTCCTTCATGCTAACGTAACGTTAAATGTTTGAGAGCATCACTTTTTTACTTGAATTGAAAAGATGTTTTTGGGCTTATTCTAAGCAATCTAATGATAATTATAGTGAAATAATCTTAAACTAACTTTTAATCTTAAACTAACTTTTGATCTTAAGAATAAAATCACGAAATTATGTTATATATAATACATGAATGCATAAAATACAACTGCCAGTATAAATATAAAACATTGTATTTAATTTACAAGTTTTGATGACTAAAATGTGGAAAATAGATATGAGGATCATAATGATGTTCAGTAATTAAATCAGTAAGAAGTTGTAATGTTCACAATTTTCTCAGTTTGTTGTCTTATGAACTTTCTTGAAGAGCTTGTTGTTGTGATTAATATTAATAATGTTATTAATCGTTTCCATCATATTTCTGTCACTGATAAGGGAGTTTTAAAGGGTTAGTATACCCAAAAATGAAAATTCTTTCATTAATTGCTCACTGTCTTGTTGTTCAAAACCCACCAGACTTTAGTTCATCTTCAGAACACAAATGAAGATGTTTTGAATGAAATCTGAGAGTTTATGTCCCTCCATTGACAGCAACGCAACTACCACTTTCAAGCCCCAGCAAGACAATAAGACATCATTAAAGTAATTCATGTGACTCCAGTCCAGTGGTTTAACCTCATGTTTATAAAGCAACGTGAGTGCTTTGTTTGCACATAAAAAAAAATAATTTATCACTTTATTTACAAAATATATTTCACGCATCAATGTATGCTCTCGCATCAACAGAACACGCAAGCCTCGTGCTGATCTCATGAATGCGCTTTGGAGATTAATATTTTGTAAATAAAGTGATAAATTATGTTGGTTTTTTTATGTGCAAACAAAGCACTTGCGTCACTTCATAAAATTGGTACATTCATAACCCAATGGCGTCAACATGGATTACTTTCCTACCTTTCTCGTACTTGAAAGTGGTAGTTGCGTTGCTGTCAATGGAGGGACAGATTTCATCATAAAGATCTTCATTTGTGTTCTGAAGATTAAAGAAAGTCTTACAGGTTTGGATCGCCATGAGGGTGAGTAAATGATGACAGAATGATTTTTGGGTGAACTATCCCTTTAAGAACTCTGCTTCACATTGTATATTCGCTGCCAATGTCCCCTATAAAGTGTTATTAAATAAGCATCCTTCCCCCCCCTCCAGCTATAGGCTCTTAATATCATGTGCAAAAAGGTGTGATATGCCATGAAAAACACATTAAAGCTTTGAACCGAGTTAAACTGCAGTACATTATTATGACTGCGACAGCTCACTGGTTTATGAGACGCGGCCATGGAAAAAAAATAGTTTATCAGCATTGTTCCCATTGTTTTTATTTCTTCGCTCAGGGCACCATCACCAACCAAGCGCAGAGAGCGTTCAGAGGACAAACCCAGGGAACGAGGGAAGGAGAAGCCTGCTGGGAAAGAGGGAGCGGAGAAGGAGAAGGATAAGGAGAGAGGCAGAGACAAGATCCGGAAGCGGCGCAGTAACTCCACCGGGAGCAGCAGCAGCAGGTCAATAACTCTTTACACGCTCCCTCTTAATGTCATTATAATGAGATTTAGGCGATATTCATATCAAACTATAACACAACACTTAGATCAAATTGATGCGATTAAGCTCATAATTGTAGAAAACGTAATTGTTGTCAAATATGTGCTGATTTAAATAGCAATAAACAGGCGTGTAAACACTGGCATATTTTCCACTCTGACCAAAGCGGATGATGATGTAATGCGACTCATGCGCAGGTTTGTAAACATAGTGATAAAGGAGGCATCACATTTTTAGGGTTCTGAAGAAACAGTTTTCACGCTGATAGCGTTGTGCTACATGAATATAACGTTGTGTTACTGATGAACAAAAACTTAGAAATGAAGACATTTAGGCACGTCACCGAAAAGATCCAATACATCCATAGAAATGTTTTGCAATTCACTTAAGTATCCTTGCATCTATAGATTAAAACACGCCTACTGTATGTGGGTTCATTTGCGCTGTGTTCATTGACATGTGAATCGTGGTGATTAAAAAATAATCACAATTATTAGTGAATAATCAGAAAAATTTAAATTGCGTCTAAATAGGAGCAAATAGATTTGTTTGTGTCATGTGTGATTAAATCCTTACTCTTATTATTGGAAATAGTCACATGTAAACGTAGTTATTGTTTGATGCATTGATCAAGGTTAACCCTTTAAGCCCTGAAGGCATTGTTTAGAGTTGTTGTTTTCTGAGTGATATACACAAAAGGTAAAGACTCAAACTCTAGCCAGGAGAGTTAAAAGGTGGGTATTGTTTGATAGAAAAACTTTTTACATTTTTAAAATAATTACATTTGGATGTTCTTATGCTTAGAAACTGCTGATAAAAGACAAAGAATATTTTAATTTTATTTTAATTTTACTTATCTTTCTTATTTGACATGCAATAACTCAGGAAGGAAAAAAGGTAGGAGGACAATTCTTTTTTTTTGGTGAAGTTCCCCTGCATCTGGATCAAATTTTGTGGTGATGATAACAAAGTAATCAAAAGTTACAGCATTTGGAACCAAAGTACCTTTTTTGTTTATAGCCCTTGACACCTTGAAGGCATTTCTAAATTTGTTGCTCCTCCGTAAGGAATATCTTGTGATCGACGCAATGAATTATTTTGATTTTGGATTCAGGAGAATCCACTTAGTAATGTCATTTTCTGCAATCAATTCATGTTTAATGAAGTTACAAGCGTAAACGCCACGTGAAAGCTACATTTGATTTCACTTGCCTACATGTGCGCTTGTGGAGTTATAACTTCATGAGAACAACTTTAGATCCAAATGATGGGTTATGGTTAGTTTGGGATCTTTTTAATCATGAGAATCTGCTGTAACTAATGCTGTGCAGTTTTCACAAACTGAGCATGTTTCATGAAGTGCGGTACACTTCAGGTTTATAGGGTTAAATGTGTCTGACTTCAGATCCAGGTCCAGTTCCAGCTCCAGCAGCAGCTCTGGATCCAGTTCGGGATCGTCCAGTGGGTCCAGCTCTTCTTCTGGTTCCAGCCGCTCCGGTTCGTCCAGTTCCTCTCGTTCCTCTAGTTCATCCGGGTCCTCTGGGTCTCCCAGTCCAGGCCGCCGTCGCCATGACAATCGGCGCCGCTCACGATCAAAGTAGGTTCCTGGCTTTTTGGCTTGCTTGCGATATTAACCAGTTAATGCCTGGTTGTGCCATTGTCACTTACTGAACGTGGGTTTGCGCTTTTAACCAGGTCCAAATCACAAAAACGGACTGATGAGAAAGAGAGGAAGAGGAGGAGCCCGAGCCCCAAACCCACCAAACTTTATCTGGGAAGACTCACCAGGAACGTAACAAAGGTACACTTGAAGATAGAGCTGCACGATTAATCGTTAAAAGATCACAATCTCTTATTCCTAAATGGCAACGATGTGTCTAACGCCTGTTTGACATTGCAAGCATCAGCGGTGCGTGAACAGAGCGTATGTTGTTGCTACCCATGTTAATGAATGAGAGGGTCGGTCGTCATTCTTCCTATGTGAACGCTCTCATTAAATATGGCAGCGACAAAACTTGTGTTGCTAACGCTTGAGATGTGAAACTGTTTGAATTTTATTTAACCATTGAAAGTACAATCATCACACTGCAACATTTAAATCTGCATTAGCGCTGATTCGGAGAGAGCAGCGACCATGTAAATGTACAGAACAGCTTCACAAACTGTCTTTTCAACCACACATTATCGTTATTTATGTGTTACAAACATTTAAATAACTGGATACAATTTTACTGGGATAATAGTTTATAGTTTGGGTATAAACACCGATGACTACGGTGGTGATCAAAATAAGAGTTTCTATTGTATTGCTTATCGTTACGCCAGGTAGGGCTGCACGATTAATCGCACGATATTGTTATGCGCATCTAATCAGTAAAAGCCGGTTCCTTGATTAGTAGTAAATCACCTTCACCTGCTTTCAGATGGACATATGATGCAGATATGACTCTATGAGTGTTAAATTAACACTCAAGAGTGTTAAAGTTAATGAGATAATTAAGTGATTAATTTAGTGATCATTGAGCATTATTGAAGACACCTGATGATAACAAGCAGAATCACTGAAGGAGAAAATCTAAAATTGTAAGCCACCGTTATGGCGATCAGTGTTTGCTTTAGTTGGGCTCTTGATCCTTATACTTCAAGTTTAAATATTGTTTGTCTGCTGTTATTGATTTATTACAGTCAAATGAACAAAGACAAGTGTGATCTGATAGTGTTGGTTATGTTTTGACATAATCATGCTGTGATCTGAAAAATGAAACTCATTCAGATGATCTGGTTTAACTTGATAGCACCAGTTTAGTGGTTCTACAGCATATGATAGTTGTATTTTTCTTATAATCCAAAACATTTAATAAAAATTGTTCTGATCAAATCACTTTCAAATGCATTTATTTAGAAACACAGACATCAATAATCAGCCTGTGAATCTCAACCGTGGTGACAATAATAATCCTTGTTGCCACCAATCACAACTCATTAATGG